ATTTTAATTGTTTTGTCGTAAAATTCAAGTGCTTTCGAGTAGTCACCGATGTCGTTATATACTGCACCGATATTGTTGTAGGTATTAGCCAATGAAGGATGATCTTCTGGGAGAGTTTGTCGGTCGATTTCAAGTGCTTGCTCATAATAGGAGGCTGCTTCTTTGTATTTCCCTCGCTTCTTTTTCACCATTCCAAGCATATGACAGATATATGCTTTATCGCTGTCGTTCGATGCCTGTTCTAATAATGTGGTATACAACTCTTCGGCCTTGTCGAATTGACCTATTTTTAGCAGCAATTGACCCAATCGATACCACCCGGTGCCATCGATCTCTTCTGCTATACTTTTGGTTAATCGACGTAGTTGTTGGTCATCATCTGCTGTAAGTTTGAGATCCACTTCATAAAGTGAACTTTTCTTGTCAATTTTTCTAACTTCACCAATTCGAAAAACTGTGTGCATTGAGAAGAGAATTTCATCTTCTTGTGCGAAATCACTCAGCTCTCGAATAGAAGCGAATGGAGTTGATGACTCTGTGGGATCGATAGTCATTTGAAAAAGAACACCAACCATATCTGTTGTTCTTAAGGCGTCCTTGGCGAACCCGAGAGAGATATTTCGATTTTTGCTGGTAGATAAAAAATTATTAAATGAAATAAGCCCACCTTTGTTTTTAGTGATTTTTTCGAAATCTACCGTCAGTAATCCCTGGCCCCGATAAAGTGGAAATATCTTACCATGATATTCATTGCTTTGTTTGCTATGTAAATCTTCAATTTGTCGATGGACATCACATAAATAAAATCCCATTCGGATAATAATATCACCATCAAGAGTCCTTAATGCTCGATTAAGCATGTTGTATGTAAAGCATTGGCGTGTATACCACCATATCGCCAATGTAGGATGATAAGTACGCTGAAATTCATCGATAATTTTGAGTTCTTTTTTATTACCTTTATATTGTTCTTGGCAGAAGGTGACTAAATCTTTGATGGCTTGTTGGTCATGATCCATATCAAGGAGAATTTCCTTGAATATTTGAGTATACATGAAGGATGGTTCTAGCTGATTGAGATCTTCGCTAGAACCTCCTTCATTCACGCCAATAATACTAACAGTTACCTGATCTTGATTACATTGTTTGACGGCTACTGCCAGTTTTTCACAGATACTTTCGATTGACGTATGAACGCCTTTAATTTTGGGCCAATTTTTGGCCCATTCTTGATGGCGTTGTTTGTTACCACAGAAGATATAAATGCCATCTAATTTTGGCATGCCATGAATATCTGGTACAAGATGTTGGCCAAGTGCACCAGAGGAGATGACAAATGATGTCTCCTCACTGTTTTCCTGGAGCTTGTCAATACATTGTTCGGCCGTGGTGCATGGGTTCACATCATTAACAACACCGCGCAATTGCGCGAGTGTGTTTTGGCAATCTTCGTTTTCCATGTTGATATTGCCGTCAACCCAGATCACCAGATAATTTTCAGCCATTTGTCGCCGTCGTTGTCGATTCATTTTGAAGCCAAACTTTCCTGTTGAATCAGTAACTGAATATAAAGAATAGTGGATTGTTAGTTGGACAGAGATCACCTTTTCTATTTATATGTTCGATATCGATGTTTTTTTTATGTTTTTCGTTGACACTCAAAGATAAACTCTCACTAATTTCAATAAATGCAAGCAAAATATGTAACAACGTCATTCATTTTATGGGTTTTTTTCTTTCCAACTTAAGTTTGCTCTGTTTTACATGAATTTTTATTATCTTCATAAAACGAGGTTGACAATGCAAGATAAGAAGAAATTAAGAACTAGTAAATAAAATGATAAGAATATCATAGCAAGAAGAAAAACACAAGCATAGAAAGTAATGTTATCATCATCGTAAAATTGTAAGCTAACGATATATTATATTGCAGAACAATAACACTGTAGAGGAACATGGTGTGGATGTGAGTCTTGTCTTCGGTAACATTCACACCCACACCCACACCCTAAATATATTTATTCCGATTCTCGATTATCTACACTGTCACTATCTTCAAGTGATGGATGAATCTTATTTCAACTGTTCAACCTTCGAATCATCTTCCGTCGAGAGTGACCATCTTGTGTTTTCTTAATTATGATTCAAATATTTATTTCTAAATATGATTTAAATAGATTCTTGCTTCATTAATTGAACCTAATAAGTCTCAATATCAATGATCGGGTTGTAATCTTTTATTTTCAACATCAATACAATTAACAGAAGTACAAAACTTTAACTAAATTTTTTGTCAGAGGATCTCTAACAGCTGAAATCAGTCCCCTCGAAAACTTTGATTTCTTCTATGTTAAATTAACATATGTACACGTAATTGGATACCATTTAAATCACTTTATTCATTATTTCTTTACTTACGAGCACATAAACAAGATCGATCATATCAATGTTCACATATTTACACGTGCAGAATATTTACGTTTACATGAACGTTCACATACAGGTGAATTGTTTTTGATTATATATTTATTTTGATTTTCAATTTTTCTTATTTGAAACCGAATAGGTGAAAAACCAAAGTCATGTGAATATGCTGATTCTTCAAAAGCATTTAGTAATTCATCAGATCGAACAAAGCATATTAAACGAACACATTTAAATAAAGTTTGAATTTAAATAAATTAACAACAAAACAAAAGTTTCTTTTTTTGTTTTCTTTTAAAAAAAATATAAATGTCAAATTCAGGGTTGTGGTAAATCTAATACAGATTATTCATGGTGAAAATCCATTTCGACAAAAAGAACATAAACGTATAGATGATAATAATGATAAACAATTTGAAGAAACAAAAGACAAATATTTCGAATACAATATTATTTTCAAATGTTAATTAGATTTTTGTTTTTATTTATAATAATATGATGATGACGATGAAGATGTAATTGTTGATCAAAGACTTCCATTAAACATTGATGTAAATCACTTCTTGTTTTTTAGATCATGGGAAATCATTTAGGAGAATTATCAGTCGGTACTACGACTGCTTTGCCAGTTCATCGAACACCAATGACGAATTCTTTAAAACAAATTGCAAAAAACAAACTGTTTTACCAGCCATGCATATTACAGGCGTATTTGAAGCAGATCTATCAATTAAAGATCGTATACTGAGATTTATCATATTTGCATAAAACAAATGCTTTCGCTATCACACTAAGTAATTTAAACTGTGAGATCTTCATAGCGTGCACACACCGAGTTCTTTGAATTTTAAGTTATTTATATTATCTTGATCATGAGACAATACTTGAACATTTCAACAGGATTTATTTTTACTTTTAGGATTTGCGCAATCCTTCGGTTTAGTAATTATTTATTTCAGTATGTGTAAATCTATCATAAACCACTCATAAATCTTTTCAATTGACTTAATTCAACTTTCTTTTTATTAATTAACTGAAAATAATTCCAATCAAAAGCGAACTTGATTCATCAGGTTCTGTATGTCTAATCCTAAATAAAAAAACAACGAAAAGAAAGACTTTTATCTAATAATATATTTGATAAATTATTGAAAATTTGAGATGATTTTCATAGAAATTATTGTAAGACAACAATATGTCATTCAATGAATGTTGATAAAGGTATCTTTTTTTTAATTTCTCGTTAATAACATTTCAATCGAAAAAAAGATTTCTTTGGCTCAATATCCAAGTACATCATCATACGAATATGATTGTATATCAAACGATAATATCAAGTAGAGACGTTTCTTAATTCAACTAAATACTCAAGATTTAGGGTTGTTAGATATGAAACACTAAGTAATAATGCTTTAACAATTCTATCTGTTCAAACTTCTCTTGTTTGTATGTAATTTTTATTAAAAAAATTATCAAAAATATGTTGTCGTTTTCTTCCTATTAGAGTTCTCTTAGATGTTCAAATGGAAGTTCACACAACTTCTTACATTATCACATGTAAATTTAATAACAAGTCATTTAAGTTCAATATTAACCAATGAATTATCACCATCAAGTAGTTTTTGTGTTAGTGCATTATCAGGTGGCATTCAACAAACATCAATATCAAATTCTAATCCTAAAATAACACATTTAATTTATCTTTGTCAAACACTTGAATATAATTAACATTTAGATACCGAAGATAATTAAACAGCAAGAATTATTGCTTTCCTCGTCCTTAAAATAATACTAATAATATTTTTTCATTGATCTCTTTCTTTAATTATAGCTGCAACTCAGACAAATAATACAACATAGAACTTCAATTTATTTACAAAACTAATATGTTGAAAATGTAAGGTAGAGCTCATCGGATTTATTTTCTTTTTTCCATACGAATTATGAAAGTCAGTTATGAAAGCAACTTTATTCATTAAGATCAACTAGATGAACATAGAATGACACGAATACTTGAGCTTTGAATCATTTTAAATTCTTTTAGAAAGAGTATTTTTAAGGACAACGTCAATATGCTGTTTCAATATGACGATAAAATTTATCCGATCGATAGAGCATTCGAAGAGTCGTGTTGTGTGTAACTGCAAACCAGTGTATTCTGCTTTATTCATTGTTCTCTATTCAACTTAATCAAATCTTTTATTGTTTTAACTTGTTGATCAAGTTCATCACATAATTCTGTAATGATCAAGCCCATAAAAAACATGATGCCTTCGATTTTGTATTTTCGATTAATAATCATTCGTATGATATTTAACGCAATAATTTTGGTGCATCAATTCAAGAGACAATTGATGCAATTTTTTAACAAAATAATCTCTAATCAAACATAAAATCATTATGAATTTTGAATGATGTTGCATAAGAAGTTTATAACAGGTAAGCCCAACTTGATGTACAAGCTAAAAAAACAATCATTTATACAAAAGTTGATTTTAGTAAAATTTTTCAACAAATGACGAGACAGATTGAGATCAGCATTGTTTAAATTTTGTGACCAATTATATCTCGTCGTCAGTGCTTAGTGGTCGCACCATTTATTTTGTGTTATGATTTCTGGACGACGAAAACCAATGTTGATCTTCATATGAAATTTAACTGAGGTGAGCAGAGCACAACGTCTTCTTGCTTCTGAAACTTTTACTTTTTTTGAGCAGTAAAACGGAAAAAGTTACTTTCTTGGAATGTAAAGCGACCGGATCGATATGAACAAAGACTATATCCACTGCTTTGAATAATTTATTTGTTGTTATGAATAGGATTCTTCATTATGCAAAAATTTCTTAGCTCCTGTCGTTCATCTTATAACTCTGTACAATCTATTGAAACTCATTGAAGATTCCAAATTACACTATTTAATAGATTGACTGGTAATTTTAATGCTTGTCCTAATGTACAGCACACATCTCACGCAGGATTTTTTTCGACTATATTTTAAACAATCAAGAATATGATCGGATAAAACGCTTTAACAGTTTTGAATACATTAATAGTATCAATCGAATAGACCATCTCACGAAAGTAGATTAATGATTTATAATTATATTCTTATTGACAAGAGTGATATTTCTGTATTAAATATGTAGTCGTTGAAATGATAAAAACAATGACAGACAGAAAAATGATTTTCGATCACATTTTGAAATTTTCTTGAAGTTTTATATGAGTGTGGGTGATTTTCTCATTGGACACTCACTCCCACACCCCTGTTTTTAACCATAGAGTCTTTCATTCTGTTCTTCAAGAAACGCTGTATTTCAATAAAAAAAAAATGAAATCTCCCATAGTTTTTAGGTATTAAAAATTTGACCATAACAGTCTCCTAACGTATGAGAGCGATGGTATTGTTGTTTGGCGTGCTTTTATACTTTTTCTTCATTTCAGCGTGATGTGACAAAAACGTTCTTGGAAAGAAAAGTGTAAACGAACGAACAACAACGCATAATTTCTTTTTTTTTTACACAGAAACAAAATCATGCGTCAAACCTAATCTATTTGTCAGCACGTTAGTTGCTTCAAACACGAGTGACGGTATGCCATAAGACTGAACGTGTGTCTAAAACAAGTTTAAAAAAAAAATAAAGTGATTTCTCTAATTTATTTCAAAGAGAGTCGAACTTTTTGGTTCATATTATTTATCTTGTTCAACAGGTCTAGATGGCTGAGCATCGCCGAAATCTTCGTCTTAATGAAATAACAGAGAGTAAAGACGAAGTTCGATTAATTTGGCTTGATCCAAATATTAATGATTCAACTGACTCTATAGAAATGCAAACAATCCTATTAGAGTTGAATCCAGCTGCTTTATTTTACACTGATGCTAATACTTGTATCGATTTGCTCAAATCGATTAAAGATATCTATATTTATTTTCTGTAACAAACGTCAACCTCACATGTTGTTAATGAATAGATATGAGAAAATTATTGAAATATTGATTAGTCAAGATTCTTTATTGAAATCTATTTCTGAAACGATGAATCTTGTTAAACAACGGATAATGATCTTTAGTTTATTCGATCAAAAACAGAAGCTGCATTTCTGTGACATCAGAATTGAGCTGAAGAAAATCGAAGAATTTCGAAAAGATTATTGTCGTGAAAAAGCAATTGAATGGTATACAGATCATTGTTTTTTTTATAATTTCCTAAATCACGCTCTTCGAACAGAAGATATCGAATTGCTTTATTCATTTCGATTCTTTATTATTGATTTATGTTTTGAAATCGAAAATATGAAACTAACGAGCGGCAATGTTTTAAAATTGTATCGAGGACAAAAAATTCCAATTGAAGAATTTGAAAAATTGAAAAAATAATATCGGTACAATCATATCAACCAATGGATTTTTCTTCACTTCAAGGTAACACTTCAAATGATCATCGATCAGTTCTTTTTTAAAATTGAAGTTGATCTATCCCTCAAAACGGTCGTCTGTGCCGATATTAGCGTCAAAAGCCTAATGAAACGTGAAAAAGAAGTTCTTTTTCAGCTCAATTCTCTTTTCAAAATTGTTTCTATCGATTTTGATTCGGATCATCACTTGTGGAAAGTGCAACTAAAAACAACAAATGAAGATACACAAATTGTTCAGGAATATCTAGCAATTGTTGAGAAACAAATGATTGACTATTCACCAATTATTTATTTTGATCGTCTTCTCCTCAAAGAGTTAGGTCAAGTTGATCAAGCTGCAAAATTTTACAACTTATTACTTAAATCTTCTTCACCAGACCATCCGAACATTTCTTTCGTCTATAACGGACTTGGAAATGTGCACGAAAAAAGAGACGAACAATATTTGACATTAAAGAATTATGAAATCGCCTATATGATTCGTCGAGAGCAATTACCACCACCAAATTATCACTTAACATACAAAGAGAAAGGCGATCTTGATGTTGCATTTAATCATCTCTTTCTTGCACTCGAAATGTTCCAGCATGTTCTGTCTTCGCAACATACTAACATTGCTTGGTGTCTAGGTAATATTGGATTAGTTTACATCGACAAAGGAGACTGCTGATGTACTTAAATATAAAGATTTGAATGAAGCACTCAAAAACTATGAAGAAGCTTTGTCTGTTTTTGAACAATCAATACCGGTTGATCATCAAGCAGTCGCTAATTGTCTTACTGCCATGGGTAATCTCTATTCAATAATCGATAGCTCAGATAGTGCTTTGCAATGTCATCTAAAAGCATTAGATTTGTATCGTCAAACACCCTTAACTTACTGGTATATGAATAATCCCACAGAAGCATTTCGCTATTTGAATGAAAGTCTCTCAATCTATCGAACTAGTTGTGGACCAGAGAATGAAGAAGATATTGCCAAGTTGAATGCCGAACAGAAGAAAGCTATGCATGTCGAACCTGTTCAGGATAATCTGAATGAAGAACAATGTACTTCTATCAATCTTCATTCTGATTCTTTTTCATCTTTTGCTAAACAAACATCACTATCTGTTAATATGACCCTCAAGTCATAATACTCAGTCTACTTTGGTTTATCGAAAACCAATTAAAATTTGAAAAGAAGAAGAACTCATTTGCACCGATCACAACAGATGCAAAAGTCAAGTTGGTCTCGAAGATATGAGAACAAGCAGATTTCTAGGGGTGGTGGCTTAGCATTAGCATTGCATTAAATAATACTAATTTTAATGCTTTTGTATTAGAATGAAAAAATTAACTTAATGCTTTGGCATTAGTGTTAAAAAAATAATATAATGCTTTGGTATTAGTGTTAATTTTGTATTAAGAAAATGCTAATACCTATCCCTATTATACAGCTTGTTCATAGAACTGTCATTCTAGTTTTACCAGCGGCTTGTCTTTAGTTGGATTTGCTTTGTAACATTTTTATACAGAGGGAATGTCACATATGCATTAAGATGACATACATGTACATCTATAGTTCTTCAGAAAGCATAAATAATTTTACTAGATATCGCTATTGTAAAAGGAAAACTCAACATAAGAGTAAGGATGAGAAGTTACCGTTGCTGTTATCGGGTAATTAGTAAAGGGGTAACGGGCATAAAATAGGGGATACCTTTGGGTCCTCAAAGGCTACTATTGGGGGTACCCTTGGATCCTCAAGGGCTACTATTAGGGAATATCCTTGAGTGCTCTAGGACTACTATTGAGGGTATCCTTAAGTGCTCTAGGGCTACTATAGGGATACCCTAGGGCCCTCAATGTTAGGCTCTCGTTGGGGGGATATTATGATTCTAGCCTGACACTATCGGTTATGGCCAGATGATCAGTATATTTAATCCCGGTCTGCAACGGGAACGAGAGATCTAACGTAAATGAAGTGAATAATCATACTGACTTTGATTACTTTGATAATAAGATGAATGAGTTGGGGATATATATATGGGTTTATTAATATGAATATAACAATAAACATATAATAATAATAATATAATAATGAAGAACAATATGAAAGGGAGAAAGGATAAGGGAAGAGAAAAACAACTCGTGACCACCGGGGAGGAAGATTCAACACCAACTGAATAGAGAAAACGACAAGAAGGATAATCACTGGAAAAGTCCAGAGAGAAATGTATACTGACCACTTAGAAAGTGGAGGAACATCCAATAGAACACAACTGAAAAGTTAGCGGTAATAGAGTGACCTCTATTGACGCTAACACTCAAGGGCTACCATTGGAG